TATGCTTCACTTGTAAGCAAAAATGAACTGGCCTTTAATGATTACCTGTTACAGCGAAAGTGAACGAATAAGAAACCATACTAAACACCAGCAAACTGTGAATCTACACGAAGATATTCCCAAGCGTGTTTTGAGACTAATCTCGCATTTCCCATGCCGCTCAGGTCAACACGGCTTTTTGAACCTGTTTCATCTACTTTAAATTATTCTATCAAAAATTAAAACAACCGAATCGTACTGTTTTTACAAGATTCTTTAAGCTACTAAGGTTTATACTATCCTTCATAAAGCTGAAGTAGGTTTAATCAGAATTTTGTCAGGATAAGTGTTCGAACAAATTTGTTCTCTTTTGGCTAGTCGCCAAAACAACTAAATATTTTAATCAGCTACGATCATGATAACAGTAAGAGATAAAAGCGGTTTCTCATGCTTTCATTTTAGAAAAGTTAATCACAGGTTGTTACGGAGTTTGAAGAACATAACGATATATTGCAGAAATTGATAAAATATGCTTTGATAATAACAAAAAATACTGAATTGTGGAAGAAAACAGAACAAATAAGCTTCCCAAAGTGCTTTAACACTGCCTAGACAGTGGAATGACGAGACAGTATGACGAGACGGCGTGACATTGTCGTGTAACCTAAATTTATATGACATTGAATTGACATTGTGCCGACGTACGATCTTGCCGATCATTCGCTAATATAAAAGCGACCGATTAGAATTTAAATTTTGACTTTTCATTAATCGTTCACTTCAACAGAAATTGTTTGTAAAACTACACTCGACACTCGAAAGTCTTTCGAGTGGAAGCCACTCGATTACACTCGCTTTTATGAATAATTTGTTATGCATGACTCGCGAGTAACGATGGTCACTCGATAATCGCACTCTCGAGTATAGAGCGAGTGGATGGTACTTTACTCGAGACCGGTACTGTATGTTACATAAAGAACTAATATATATCGAATTTATAAGGAAAAACCTAGAGATGTTTCAGATTTTAGACGKATTGTGTAAGCTATCACTAAAAATAATTTCGATGTCATCGAAAATGGCGCTGATCAARGTCTTCGCTGTAATTCGAGGCRCGYAAAGCATCACCCTGGGAAGGCTCCTTTAAGAATCCTTTTTCAGTGCATTTTTTTCTGCATGAAAATTTAGAGCTCATCATCTTCTTCACTATCAAAGTCTGTCTTGGTATTTGGCTGGTTTCTTTTTGCATAGTGGCTCCTCAACTTCATCATAATTGAGCCCTCTTGGATGTTGAAGGCTTATAGACCTGTTKGTGGCTTGTTCCTGTACATACATGTATATAAAATGTATTCTAAGTAAAAAGCATGTCTAGGATTGTCTCCGCAAACTAAAAGAGCATGTGGGTAACACTTATAAAACAATTCTTAAATAATAATACTGCAAGATTTATGTCCAAATTTTGTCTCTTACCTTGATGGACTTSGAGTTTGTTGTACCAGGTGCGCAAAAGAGGGCAAAATGAGGATGTTCTATCAAAGTGGAGTTTTTGCTAGCAGAACATATTTTGATGCTAGAAATTGAGATGGAAATCAGTGGTACCTGTTGTCCTCCAAATGCAATTTTTGCATTCATTTCTAAATAGAGTACTGTTTTGTGCCTCTTTTACCTTGTGAAATTCTTTGAACTGAAAGATGGACACTAGTAAGATTGTAGTAGCAATGTCGTGACTATAGCTGATTATTTTGTGATATTTAAAAAACTCCTAGTTCGTGTTTTATCGTGAGATATAAACACGAGGCCGAAGGCCGAGTGTTTATATCCACGATAAAACACGAACTAGGAGTTTTTTAAATGACTTCTAAAACCCAAACCTAAGAAACTACAATGAAGATGAAATAAATAAAAAAATATCAAAAGTGAATAATTGATGAAGATATCTCCATCTGAGCATGAGCAGTAATGAACTTGGTTTCCCACATCCAAGCGCCACTATGTTTTAGTGTACTGTGACTCTGCAAATAAGTAATTTTAACTCGAG